GATAACGTTTACAAACATCAAACACGTCTCTCATTAAAAATAAATTGTCCATTAATGACTTTCCTGGTATACAAAAGGACTGATCGTCTGGGATTAGACCTCTGATGAATCCCCGAAGTCTGTTAGATAGGAACTTAGAAAAAATCTTATAGTCTGAACACAAGGAAACTGATCTCCAGTTTTTTAGTTGGGTTAAGTCCCCTTTTTTCGACAGCAGGGACAGAACGCCCCGCCTACATGATGCAGGAAGTGCTCCTGTCTGAAGTGAGTCTTTAAAAACATCCAACAGGTCCTGTCCTATACTGCTCCAGAAAAACTTGTAGAAGTCAGCAGGTAAACCGTCCATCCCCGGAGATTTTCCTGCAGCCATCTGGGAGACTGCCGTTATAAGCTCCTCCATGGTTATGTCTGTATTTAAGATTTCCTGGTCTGCTGTGGTCAAGGAAGGAAGCTACTGCAGCAGCTCTCTAGCACAGTTCACATCGCATGGGGCGGCTTTAAACAGGCTGGTATAGAATTCTACTGCATGTTACCTCATCTCCACTGGGTCTGTGGATCAATGTCCATCTGGTTTGAAGTCTTTTCCAGGTTAAAAAAGAAGGATGTTGGAGCATCCATGTCCTGTATTGTGGTGAGACGAGCCCGGATCAAGGCCCCTTTGGCCCTCTCTTGCAGGAAATGCCCAAGCTGTTGTCTTTTTTGGTCTAAGGTGTGCTGTTGTTGAGTAGTAGAGAGAGTCTCTAGCGCCCTGATATCCTTCTCTAGATCTGCTATAGTCTTTTTTATTTGGTTTGTAGACCCCCGTGTGCAATGTTGACAGAAAACTCTAATGTGTGCCTTCCCTTGTTCCCACCATTCACTGACGGTCTTAAAATCATTCTCTTTAACCCGCCAAGCCTCCCAGAACAGCTTAAAATTGTAGCAAAAGGTAAAATCGTGTAATAACTTTACATTAAAGTGCCAGTAGGATTTTGTTGTCCCAACAAAATGAAGCATCAGTTCAGTTATAATCAAATGATGGTCTGTGAAAATAGCTGGGACTATTTGACAGTCCATCACTCTAGAGCGAAAAGTACCAGAGACATAAAATCTGTCTAATCTAGCAGTACTAACTCTTCCACCTGACCTTTTGACCCATGTGTATTCTCTGCTTGATGGATTCTTTAATCTCCACACGTCCAATAAGTCGGTTTTTGTTAGGATTTTTGACAAAAGGGTAGAAGATGTAAGATGTGGTTCCTCCCCAGATCTATCTAAAGTAAAATCAGTACAACAGTTCCAGTCTCCACTCCAAATGGTACATTCGTCAGCAGTAATGCTACTCAACTTCTCCCCAAGTATGTTAAACACCTCTCCCCTCTCTGATCCCTGGTTGGGTGCATAAACACTAATGAGGTTTATCATAAAGCCTTCTAGTGTGGCTTTGACCCATAGGACCCTACCCTGCACTACAGTTGTTACTGATATAATATTTATCATCAATTTAGGGGAAATTAAAATGGCTACACCTGCACGTGTGTTTGTGCCATGATTTAGGAAGCATTGACCTTTCCACCCCAGCCTCCAGTCTAATTCGTTTTTAGCATCACTGTGTGTTTCTTGTAGGAAAATAACATCCAACTTTTTATCTCTAAAGACTTCCTTAATCAAGGCTCTTTTCTGTGGATCCCTCCCCCCATTTATGTTCAAGGAGGCAACTCTCATGTCTTTCATACACAAGAAAGATGAGAGAATACAGTAGCCCAGATCACCAGCAGAAAAAGAGGCACCCAGTGATTCCTATTCAAGAGTCCTATTTTATAATCTTCCCTTTCTTCCCCACTTTAGTCCACCCTAAACTTTTTTTAAGCTCAAAACATGTTTCTTTAAACGGTAACGTTTCTTTTCATCTAAACGATCCAGGCCCACCTCTTTCTGCAGTGTGGCGGCCGACCTGATAAACTTTACAGCATCAGGAAAATATTGCTGTAAGTCCATACATTTCATCCAGAAACTCACTGATCTCCTCCAGAGAGTACAAGCTCTCCTCCAGCAACTCACTGTCTGCTACCAAAACATTGTCTGAGTCCGAATCACACTCATTAACAGAATCGCCATGGCAACCAACAACAGGCAACCCCACTCCCTCCGCTTCGCTGTTTGGTTCCACCTGCCTCTGCTCAGGAACCTGTGCATCCTGACAGTCTAGTGGGCCATTCCCATCTGTACCGGGTCGGCCCGGGCCGGGTAGCCCCATTCGGCCCCAGCCTGGCCCGGTTGATTCCACACATCCTTGTCTTCAGCCCATGTGGGCTGATTCTACCCACCAATCAGAGGCTTGCTTAATGGAAGGTGTGAATTTGCTGTCAGCAGTGGGTGTGTTGGCCCTGGTCGGCCTGAAGCAGACCCCCTCAAGAAGAGGGCTGAGAATGAGCCTTGGTTGGCCCGGAACAATACCAGGCCACCCAGATATGTAAACAACCTACGCTACCCGGCCCGGGCCGACCCGGTACAGATGGGAATGGCCCATAGCTGTCCTCTGCTAGTTAAGAACTGTACTCCTGCTTTTTGGTCTGCTTCTACCTGATCCTCTAGTCCTTCCTCTGGTGAACGCACCCCTAAAGAGGCAGACACGTCACCAGTCGTCTCTAGGCCTCCATGTTCCGCCTGTACTGGCTGCTGCTCCACTGTGTCAGAGCCAGTACCGGCTTTCGTTCCGTCCAGAACTGAAAAACTGTCTGCCACTGTTTCTGTCCCTGCTGCACCCTCCCTCCCTCCCTGCGAGCCACCGGCCCGATCCCCGCCTGAAGAGAGGGGACCGCGGGTTCTGCCCCGGTCTCCGCTCCTGGTCCTGCTGCATTTTGTCGGTGGGGACAAGCTACACGCTTGTGACCCACATCTCCACACTCACAACATTTCATCACACCAGCTCTAGCATACACCATGTAATACCCTTCCTCATGCTTCACTCTGAATGACACGTCCAGCATTTGTGATGGAGAGTCTAAGTACATGAACACCTGCCTCCGCAAGGACTGGACATGTCTCAGTTTATCGTTTTTACACCCCAGGCTCACCGTACGGAATCCACTCGCCATTCTCCCAAAACGCCTGAGCTCCCGCTCCAGAGCAGAGTCAGGAACAAAGGGAGGAACTCCTGACACGGT